GAGCCACACCCCCAGCCCCTCACTGGGGGATTCTAGGCAGGGGCTCTACCACTGAGCCACACCCCCAGTCCCTCACTGGGGGATTCTAGGCAGGGCCTCTAGCACTGAGCCACACCCAGCCCCTCACTGGGGGATTCTAGGCAGGGGCTCTACCACTGAGCTGCATCCTTAGCCCTTGACCGTCTTTCCTTTGTATACAGGACCCTTGCCTGCTTTTGGACATGTCCTTGTATGTGAGCTGGCCTTCCCACTAAACTGTGCCCAGGAGTCTGTCCCTCTGGGCCCTGCTGCCCTGGTTCAAGCTGCCACACCTTTGTCTAAGCAAGGAGATCACCTGAATGGCCAGAGTCTAAATGTTTCAAATTTGCCCAAGCAAGACCATCTAGGCAGCTGCATTCCACCTATCCCTTTACCTGGACAGAGCGACTCTGAGAACATCCAGGCTCCATCCACATCACCTTCGCCCAAGCAAGAAGAACCTCCGGATGTCCAGGTACCAGCTGCCTCCACTGTGCCTGATCAGAGTCATATTCCAGCTGCCACTCCTTCGCCTGAGCATAGAAACTACATGGAAATCCAGGTCCCGTCCACCACCACCTGCCTTCCTGAGCCAGAGTGTCACACAGACCTCCAAATGCAAAACCCCGTGGCGATGCCTAAGCAGGGAGCATGTGCTAGTGTCGTGAATCTAGCCAGCCCTCTTTCGTCCAAGCCAGAGGGTCAGGAAGATCGCCAAAGCCCAGATAGTGCCCCAGGAAGTGAGCACAGAGATGTCAGCACTGATCAGGGCCCAGCTGCTGCTGGTGGTCGAGCTGCCAGCCCTTTACCAATGTGCACCAGCAACCCTGACCGTCCGATCCCAGCCACCACCTCGCCGCCTTTGTCACCTGACCTCCGAGACACTGAGGGTCCTGATGCTTCACCTCTGCCTGCACAGGGAGGTCATCCGGACAGCTGCATCCCATGCAGCCCTCTACCATCTTTGTCCCAAGACACTCAGATGCCAAGTGCCATTCCCGTGTCCCAGCCACAAGTCCTTACAGACATCAGGGCTGATGCTCCCCCACCCTTCCCCGAGCAGGAGGGAGCTCCAGATTCTCGGGGTCCAGAGCCCAGCCTCACAGACATACCAGCTACCAGACTTGTGCCTTCACCGGGCCAGCAGAATCCCACAGATGGCCACGTGTCAGCGGCCACACCCTTCACTGAACAAGGATGCTCTCTGGACCTTCAAGGCCTCATAACCACCCCGATTCAGACCACCATGGAGTTACCTAAACCACGAGGCCATGCGGTCTCTCCTGTTGCCAGGTCGGAGTCTTCAGACTCCACTCCCCTCCAGAGCCCCTCGCTGCCCACTCGCCAGCTCCTGGGCCCCAGTGCGGCTGCCCTCTCAAGGTACCTGGCAGCTTCCTACATCAGTCAGAGCCTGGCTCGGCGTCAGGGCCCTGGGGGAGATGGCCTGGTGGCCTCCCAGGGGCATTGGTCCTCCTCTGCCCCTACGTCAAGGGCGCCTTCCCCACCGCCTCAGCCCCAGCCCCCAGCCCCTCCAGCCAGGAGGCTCAGCTATGCCACCACGGTTAGCATCCAGGTAGGAGGCGGTGGGCGGCTACGGCCAGCCAAAGCCCAGGTCCGGCTAAACCACCCTGCTCTCTTGGCGGCCCCCCACCCGGGAGCCTGTGGACCTTCCCAAGGCCCAGGGGGCTCCTGATGCCCCTTCCCATATGTAAGCCTGGAAATTAGGCTTCCTAAGCTTCAAGAACTTTCACCAGGTGCCACCCACCCTCGTGACATCCAGAGTCAGGACACAGGTTTATTAATGGCCACAGCCCTGGGATCTGTGTTCACAGATGGCCCTTCTGAGGTCATGGTTATTTTGTTAATTAACTTTATGAAATGCTGTGTGTTTTGCCATTCTTGAGGTAGTGGGAGATGGTAAGACATGATGAACGGGAAGGGCTGATGTGGCCCAAGTGTGAAAACTCTTAAGAACATTTGGAGTATCTCAGGGTGGGCATGTAACTCCGTTGGTAGAGTGCTTGCTTAGAGTGTGCAAAACCCTAAGTTCAGTTCCCAGCACTACACAGAACTGGATGTGATAGTGCACACCTGTAATCTGTGGACAATGAGGATCAGATATTTGTGGCCATCCTTGGCTATATAGCAAGTTCAAAGCCAGCCTGAGTGACTTTTTCTCAAAAAAAAAAAAAAAAAAAAAAAAAGGGAACATCAAGATCTTTGGGGACCATTAGAAACTGTTAGGCCCTGGGTTGTAGTTTTGAGGCGTTTGAAACTATTTGATGATCCATTCAAGAAGGCCAGTCCTACTCCAGCTGGGCATGCATGATGGTGCGTAGCTCTGGTCCCAGCTGCTTGAGAGGCTGAAATGAGGACCCCATTAGCCCAGGAGTTTGGGGGGCAACCTGGGCTACAAGGGCAAAAGCCCTCCTCTGAGCAGAACCCTTGAAATCGATTCCCTCAGCAGCCATTGGTTGCTTTGCCATCTCTGCCCCTGTGATCTATCCATTTTCCCACCCTACCCTGTGATCTATCCATTTTCCCACCCTACCCGGTGATATATCCATTTTCCCACCCTACCCTGTGATCTATCCATTTTCCCACCTACCCCAGCTGTTACTTCTATCCCTGCCCCTGTGATCTGTCCATTTTTGCATCTGACCCATCAGCTTTTATCCTGTTCTCCTTCCACCCACCCAGTTTCATTCACCATCCTACCTGTGATTTCCACTCTTCCATCTGAATACATCCCATATCTACCTCTCCATCTCCATCCACCATTTGCCCACCCACCTCCCGTCTGTCTCTCTACCCACTGTTTAATCATCTATGCACCTCGCCATCACCACCTTCTCTATCCATCAACCCATCCTCTGCCATCTCTCCTTAATGGGGTTCTTTCAGGTACCATAAACCCCAGGACCTTTCCATGCTGATGCCAGGGCAGATTAAGTTGGGGTTATAGGAATTGGGATCATTTGGTTTCCCTGGAAACACCTAGGCCCCTTTCCCATGAAATCCTGATTAATGCCTAACCCCCCTCTCCCAAACACACACCACATTCCTCCTCATTTGGGACCTCTGCAGTTCCTCAGCCTGCTCTTGCCTCCCACAGAATAATTCAAGCTGTAGGACAAAAAGGTTTTCTATGTTTGCATCCTGCCCCCTCCCGGCAGTGGTTTGCCGGGTAGCATAATTTAAACAATTTGATGACAGAATGCCAGCTCCTTCCTTCACTGTCGATAATCCTCCCTGGAATTCTGAGGCATCCCTGTGTCACGGGCTGTCAATTCAAGTCCCCTTTATTTGGTGTGTGACATTCCTCTCAGAGCTGTGGCTTTCCTGTCTCCTTGGAGTGGCCTTAGCATCCAGTGAGTATCCTGTCCCTTCTCAAGTGCATCTTAACCTGTGACTCACTGGGGAGTCACTCTCATCTCACACACACCTACAGAGCTCGGGAATCTGCTGTTAGCCATTGGCTAGCAGCCAGAGGCTGTGCTTTATTACAGGCTAGCTGCCGGCTTTAAGGTTGTCATTCTGTGTGAGCTCATTCTGATTTGACCCTCGGCATCCCTAAGAGGCTAATGAGGGCTTGGTTTTGCAATCTGAGCACCAGACTCTTGGGGGCCTGGTATTCCAGAGCTTGACCTCTAAGCTACATCCCCAACACCATGAGGATGGCTTCTGTTCTGTTTGCAGTGCTGGGCATTGGATTCAGGGCTTGTTAGGCAAGTGCTCCACCACTGGGCTGCATCTATCCCCAGCCCTTATTTGTTGGTGGGTTTGTTTGAATTCTGTATGTGTGCATCTGAGTACAGGTGTCTTTGGAGACCAGAAGAGGGTCAGAGTCCTCTGGAACTGGAGTTATGGGCTGGTAGTTAAGAGCCAGCCAGCATGGATGCTAAGAATTGAATTTGGGCCCTCTCCAAGAGCAGTATGCACTTTTAACCACAGACATCTCTCCAGCTCCTCCTTTTTAATCATAGAGATGAGGATCAGCCTGGGCTACAGAGTGAGACCCTATCTCAATCCAAAAATAGGAAGAGGGAACTGAGGCCCAGAGAAGTGCTTTGCCTGGTCTCACTGCAAGGAAAAAGGCTGACCAGGGACAAATCTTCACAGCCTGAGTTGCCCATCTAGTGCCAAGAGCCACCAGGGTTACAAGAGGTGATTGTGAGTCAACCAGCCCAAGACCAGACTCAATAAAAGGAGCTGTTTGCTTCCCGAATGCCACTGTGCCCACAGGTCCTGCACTATGTATTGGGGGCTCCCGAGGAGCGGAGCCCTGTGTCCCCCACCCTCACACATACATTCACAGTGACTGAGGTTTCCCCCAAGGTCAGAACTGAGGCTGGCCTTCCCCGCCTCTGCAGGGTTGCACATTCCCAGCCACCCCCAGCTGTAGGAAAGTTCCCAGCCTGGCCCAGGCTCCCAGCGGCGCCGGAATTCCCGGTATTCAAGGAGGTAGGGAGGGAGAAAGGGTTGTCTGCTCCAGAGCCTGGCGCAAGGAGAAGCACTTCCTCTCTCCAGATGCGTTCCAGCTGTGCCTCTTGGGAAAGAGCCATGAGCCTCAGTAAAGGGGTCTGGTCCCTCTGGGAAAACCATAGGTCCCAGGCCAGCCTCAGCCCCTCCTCCTCCTGAGGAGCTCCTTCCCTACCCTATTCCTGTCTGCTTCACAGCCCCAGATTACCAGGGCCTCAGGAGGGTTCTTGCCTACCAGTCAGCCTGCTTACAGCTACAGACTCAAAGGGAATAGGATGAGGACAGTGGTTATGTGGCCAGTACCTGGAGTCCCAGCCACTCCAGAGGCTGAGGCAGGAGGATCCTTGTGGCCAACCTTGGCAACACATCAAAAGCCCTTTGTAAAAACAAAGTGAACAAACAAAAAACAGAAACGAATAAGTCAAATCAGGATATGGACTTTGAGCTGGGCAGTGGTAGCACGAGCCTTTAATCCCAGCACTCATGGGCAGAGGCAGGTGGATCTGAGTTTGTGGCCAGCCTAGTCTACAGAGTTCCAGGACAGCCAGAGCTATGAAGAGAGACCCTGCCTTCCCCCCCCCCACACACCCAAAAAAATGGAGCCTGCTGCCTTCCTCCAGGTCTCATTCCCTTCAGCTTCCTGCTGTAGAACATGGCTTGTCACCAGGGACATTTTCTTGAGGACACCCTTATCGCCATCATAAGGCCACCATGAGCATGTCAGGTAATACTGAGCATGGCATTCCATCTACTTGGCCTTCACTGAGCTTCACTCCCCTCTGCCTGATGGCAGTGCTGCCCAATGGTACCTATGGGAATGTCCATCTGCTGAGTCTGGTGTGGTGCACACCTTTGATCCCAGCACTCCAGAGGCAGGCAGATCTCTGAGACTAAGGTCAGCCAAGACCAAATGAACCCTGTCTCAACAATCTCTGTGAGCAGCTCTCCTCTGCTGTGTGATCTGCAGGCTGAGTTCCCCTGCAAGGCCAGCACTCAGTGTAGCTCACGGGCCATTCAACTACTTCTGTATGCCAGTTCTTCCCGTTAACAGCAAGTGGGTTCTTGTTACCAAGGTCCCTGGATCACATCTCAAAGGTGTGTGAGAAGACCCCACAACTCCACCAGCAGGTCCTGACTTAACCAAGAAACCCACTGGGCCCTCTGGGTTGGCTCAGTTATATTCTGTGGGCTTAGACTCCCCCACAAGCAGACTGCTCTGTCCAAACAGAGGGCACCGATCGGATGTAAGTTGGAGTCCTGTAACGTGCTCTGCAGACCCTTGAATGAGCCGTTTCCTGGCATTCTTCCTTTATCTTCCACTACAAATTGAAGAGCACACCGCAGGACTGGCATCTAGAGGCTCCGAAGTACTGGCTCCAGTTCTTTATTTTTAACGTGCTTTGATTGGTGTTTGGTCTGAATGTATGTCTGTGTGAGGGTGTCGCATCCCTTGGAACTGGAGTTAATAGTTGTGAACTGCCACATGGCTGCTAGGAATTGAATCAGGATCCTCTGAAAGAGCAGTCAGTGCTCTTTCCAGCACGTGTTTTTCCCCAAGACGGCGTTTCTCTGAGTAGCTTTTTGTGGAGCCTGTCCTGGAGCTCACTCTGTAGACCAGGTTGGCCTTGAACTCAGATTCACCTGCCTCTGCCTCCCAAGTGTGGGGATTAAAGATATACGCCACTACACCCAGTCCCATGTATTTTTGGTGTCTTATGAGTTAGGCTGAATTTGAACTCACCACCACTGCCAAGGATGACCTTGAACTTCTGATTTTCCTCTGCAGGTGCTAGGAATACAGGCATGCAGCCCCAGCAGTAAGATGTCTCCATAGCAAGATATGAGAGCACTTAGCCAGGCGGTAGGGCTGCACGCCTTTAATCCCAGCACTAGGGAGGCAGAGACAGATCTCTGAGTTGACATCTGGTCTACAGGGCAAGTTCCAGGACAGGCTACAAAGCTACAAAGCAACTATCTCAAAAAATAGAAAGAAAAAAAAAGAGAGAGCACTTGAGCTCATTGGCTCCATGGGCTCTCCACACTGAACAATGAGGATCTGCAATGGGGATCTGCCTTGGGCTCAACACTGCTAGCACCTAAACCAAAATTCTGCCATATACAAATTCAGAAGAGCAGATACATTGCTTGCCTGGCCTAGAGATGGTCGACTCCTTAAACTTGTGTGACCCTTCCAGATTATCAACGATACTGTTGGCTGACATTGAAAACTTCCTCAGTCTGGCTCGGCCTTGACTTCGCCAGGCAGTCTGGATTTGCTTTCTTTGTACCACAGACTATAGGCCTTACACATTTCCTCTTCCTGGTATTTAAATAGTGGGGCTGGGTGTGGTGCTTCTCAGCTCTAGCCCAGCACTCTGGAGGCTAAGGCACAAGATTCCTGAGCCCTGGAGTTCACGATGAACAAAGGCTGTGGAGTGTGACAGCTCAGTGCAGAAGGGTGGAAACATCTCACCTGTGCAAAGGCCTAGGTTTGCTACCATCAAAACAAACGAGGCAGGCAGAGTGCAAAAAGATAATGCTGTGACAGCTGTACACGCCCACGTTCCAGCTACTGAGGTGGGGACATGGCAGGACTGCTTGAGCCTGGTAAGACTCCTAAAAACCACATGCGGATCTTTGTAAGTTCGAGGCCAGCCTGGTCTCCAGAGCCAGGAAAGTCACAAAGCTACACAGAGAAAACTTGTCTCAAAAAAAAAAAAAAAAAAAAAAAAAAAAAAAAAAAAAAAAAAAAAAAAAAAAAAAAAAAAAAAAAAAAAAAAAAAAAAAAAAACTCCTAAAACCCAAAAGGGGCAGGATAAAGCTTGACTGGCAAAATGCCTGCTTTGGAAGCATGAGGACCTGAGTTAAAAAGCAGAGCTGAGAGGGGCTTGTGCTGGCTGCAGTGGTCGAGTGAGTGCTGCTCTGGAAGACCGGACTCAGCTCCTGTTACTTGGCAGCTAGTAACCGGATATAGCTGGCTTCAGAACTCACTGGAGCTGAGAATGATGGCACACACCTTCAATACTAGCACTTGGCAGAGGCCAGCCTGGTCTACAGGGCAGGTTCGAGGACAGCCAGCTAAACAAACCATCTCAAATAAAATAATGTCCGGCATGGTGTAACACAATGTAATCCCTGTTCGGGGGAGGTGGAGACAGACCCCTGCAGTTCATTACATGAATTTCAGTAAAGGACCTAAAATATTTATGTTCAGTCCATTGATAAGGGCTGGACATTAGGCAGCTCACAACCTGCAGCTCCAGGCGATCTGCCCTCTGGCCTCCCTCAAGTGCACGCACACACTCATGTCAGTGCTGCTCTACAGGACACAACATCCTGTTCTGGCCTGTGGGAACTGGGCACGTACACATACATAAATACAAAAAACTAAAAGTAACTTAAAGATTTTAAGTACACATACCTATCCATATACCCTGTGGCAGCCAAAGCCATCATTGCCCTGGGCTCTGCCCACATGCACTGCACTCTACCTGAGGGAAACAAACTAAACCAAGTCTCTTCTACCGGCCACCTCTACAAAAGACCAGAGAAGGTGCTTTAAAGATTAAGTGGCTAGATGTGGTGGTGCACGCCTTTAATCCCAGCACTCAGGAGGCATAAGCGGGGACATCTCGAGTTTGAGGCCACGATGGTCCTACACAGTGAATTCCAGGACAGCCAGGCCTATAGAGACCCTGTCTCAAAGAGAACACAACAGAGAAACAGGAACATTGACCCTAGGATGTTTATTACAAAGGTAAACCCTGATCCTTGAGATGGGCTTATCGGTAGGATTTCTGGTATCGAGCACGGGCACCAGGACCTCCGAACTTTTTGGATTCACAGCGACGTGGATCGGCTACAAGCAGGGTCCGGTCATACTGGATGAGGATATCTTTGATCTCCTTCTTAGAGGCCTCATCCACATCTGGAGATAAAGGGACAAGATTCAAATAACCACACGTCTTAACTTGGTCCCCACACACTCCCCCCTCACTAGGAAGACCATCTCTCACTCACACTTTTGGTAATAAGCCACTAGGGCTTTGGAGATGGACTGTCGGATAGCTGTAAGAACACAAAGAAAAAGTTCTGTGAAGACCCACAGTCTTGCTCCAGCAGCCGCCAAGACCCACAGGCCCAGATCCTGAGACTCACCATAAATTTGGGCCACATGACCACCACCCTTCACACGGACCCGGATGTCCACACCAGCAAATCGTTCCTTGCCCAGCAGCAGAACGGGCTCCAATAACTAGAGAAATGGGAAATAGATAGGGCCAAGTCTTTTTTTTTGTTTTGTTTTTTAGAATTTATCGTTATTTTATGTGCATTAGTGTATGTCTGTGTGAGGGTGTTGGGTACCCTGGAATTGGAATTACAGACAGCTGTGAGCTGCCATGTGGGTGCTGGGAATTGAACCCAGGTCCTCTGGAAGAGTATTTAGTACTCTTAACCACTGAGCCATCTCTCCAGTCCCAGGGCTAAGTCTTAACCTAGACAGCTTAATCACCCCCCTCAGGAGGTTCCTCATCTCATGTGGTTCCTGCCACCACCACCACCACCAGAAGCAAAGGAAGATTCAAATCAGCTAAGTAAAGATCCTTGCTTTAGTGGCAAAAAAAAGGCAACCTATTCTGGAATCCCTGTGCCTGTGGAGAACGGAAGAGGCCTCAGACACCCTGAAGCTCGAATTATGGAAAGAGAGGTAGTTATGAGCTGCCCTGAATAGGAACAAAGTCAGGTCGTCTGTTTTCAGAATACTGTTATGGAAGACATCACCAAGACAATCTGCCCACAGTGGAAAGTTCCATCCCGAGCAGCCTGCCCTTCCATCCTCTCCTGAGCCTTCTTGAGCTCACACCCCAATCCTGACTATTTTGGATAAAGTTATGTCCAACATGTAGGACTAGTCCAACCAGAAGCTCCATGAGGGCCGAGCCTAGAGCCATCTGATCAGTGCTTTTTCCCCAATGCATAACGTGGTATACAAACCCTTCAAATAAACTGACAATCAGCAACCATACCCATACCCTGTATCCAAGGGAAATCTGGTATTTTCCACTCTGCAAAGCATCGTGTTCTTCCCTTTGAGAAGAGTGGAATTTGACAAACAGTATAATCCCAACACTTGGGGAGAGAAGGTGGATCTGAGTTCCAGGATAGCCAGAACTGTTACACAGAGAAACCCTGTCTTCAAAGCCGGGGACTAAAGGCATGGGTACTACACCAAGCCTGTCTAAATCCCACACTTCTCTTTACTCAAAGGGGCTCAGATCACATTTACTCAACTACCACGGAAGGATACCTAGAGCCCCTCCCACTTAAAGTTTGCTAGTGTGGCCCTAGCCGTCTTTGAACTGAGATAGGACTGTCTTTGAGTATAGAATGATGGGATTGAAGGCGTGTAACACCAGGCGGCTTCCAATGGCATTATCATCAATGCTGTCATCGCTGTGAACTGTCTTAAGTGTGATACTCCTCACATGTATCAAAACTCAAACAACAATGAGTTCTGCCTTGCAAAAGGGAATTTATTTTGGAACCTGTCTTTAAGTCTTTGTCCACCAGTTAAAAACCCACAGAGGTGCTACCAATCTTAAATTTCAGAGGACTCTCGCTGGCTTTTCTTTTCAGAGTTTCACACCGTAGCCCATGCGACCTACACCACGCTTTATTAACATCGACTCTCTAACTCGTGGCACTGTTCCCCAGGTGCTAGGATTGTACACATGAGCCTGTAAACTTACATTTCTAACGAAAGAAATCGACAATCAGGTAGCACGTACTATGCATTTCCCCTGGCCACCCGCTCCTCGCAGCGGGCTTCCAAACACTGCAGACTGCATTCCCCTTACTCTCCAAGGTCCTACATTTCATTGTCCCGGCTAGGAAATCCGCTTCCCCGGCCGGAGCCCAGACCTGCCGCTGGCTAAGCCTTCTTTTCCTTCCCACATGTCAGCTTCTAACAACCCCGGGGCCCTGCCTTCCGTCTCCCTTCCCGATGCCCGCGCCCGACCCCAGCACCTTGTACTGCAGCGTGCGCGGCTCGATCATCTCCAGGGGACGTCCGTTCACCTTGATGAGCCCGTTCCCCCGTTTGCAGTGCGCCACGGCTGTGGCCGTCTTCT